CTGTGTGCTTACTATGTACAAGTAAAAGCTGGCACCTCAGCTCAGCTCACAACGTAAGAGCATGAGGTTTGGTGGGAATTAGAAAGACTGCCACAAAGACTGGCTTCAGTCAGCCTTTACCACGTAAGTGAAAGTGAGAGGTCTGAAGCAAGCTGGAGAAAGACACCTGCCACAGGGTCGTAGCTGTGGGAACCATGGGCTATGTCAACTATCTAGAGTGGAACAAAAATGGGAGAAAAGTACAAAGGCTGACTGACAGTATCATAGTAGTGCCAATGACCAAAGGTTAGTCTAAGGGACAGCTGATCTGAACATGAAAGGCAAGCAGGAAGGGAAGAGGCTCTAGGATGGGCCTAGCTGGGTTTGAACATTGGCCCCACCCAGCCACCCTTGATTCACCAGTGTGTCGCTTGGGCCAGCTGCCATCCAAAACCACTATTCTGAGCCTAGTTTCCCTGTTCTTTGTTTTGTTTTGAACACAAGGCCCGGACTGTAGACCAGATCCACCTGTCTCAGCCTCCTGAGTGCTGAAATTAAAGGTGTTGATGGCAGTTTTCCTCTTCTGCCATAGTGTCCTGGCATTGTGCTCAGAACAAAAGGACAGTATCCATGTAGGCAGAGATACTTAAATTAGACACACTAGGCTGTGGTTTAGTGACATAGCTACCTAACACTTGTGACAGCACCAGATATCAAAGGCCAACATAAGCAAAGGTCCAACCCAAGGCTCAGTGGAAGACAGGGGTCACATGTTCTCCCCCTGATCGTCTCATACAATACACCATGGATTACAGTCTGAAAACAATTCCCTGGAGAAAGACTGGCAGAACAGAGATGGAAAAAGGTGGAGACAACCTGGAGGCTGTGTTTATGCCAAAGGGGGCAAAGAGCAACCTCCCTTGCCAACCTTACAACTCCTAACCTCAGAGTGAAGACCATATGGCTGTTGCTGTCCAGTTTAAAGATCTGGTAACTGCCTAGCCCTGACTTAGATCCTTGGACGCTGACTATTTGTTTCCATTTTTTTCTTCCATGTTTATTGTGACTAGGTGCTAGAGGCAGAACAGAAGGCCTTATGACAGGCAAGTGCTCACAGCTGAGCTCCATGCTCACCTCTCCTTTCATAGCCTTACAAACTTGCTTGCGTAAGTCAGAGCAAACCTTTACCTTGAAAAGGTTGATGTTGTCCACCTGGCTCTGAAAGAGAAAGTCGTTGATGCTCTTCAGCTCAGACCCTGCGAGCAGAACAAAGGATGCTGCTTTTGTACCAAGTCCCCTGCTCGGTCCCACAGTGAAGCTCTGAGTTGTCCACGCCACCTCCCACCCTTGACAGCAAGCTCCTCACCTGTCTGGGGCAGGCTCTGTGTACTAGGATTTTGCTTAACGTTACCTAAAAGGGGGGATTGCAACAGGTCATAACAGTAGCTCTGCGCCGACTTCTGAGATCTCTATTGTCCTATTTTACTGTCCTACAAGAACAGTCATGTTTCAAAAGACACTTGTTTGGGGCATTTACAGCAGACATGGGACACACTAAGAATGGAAGCCAAGGCCAGGCAAGAGACAGGATCAGGGCAGTCTCCCCACGGTCACTCTGAGCAGGGGAAGTGGGAAAACAGGATCTGCCAGAAGACAGGGAGCTTTGTCACAGGCAGAGATCATGATAGAAAAGCCTCTACTGGCTTTCTGGAAATCCAGCTCTACAGAACCCTTTAAAAGCACTGCCATTAAAAAAGGCATTGCCATATAATGAAATAGTCCCATCCCAGAATAATCAAAGAATCCTGGATGCTGGGGTCAGCAGCCTCCAGCCTCATGAGCCACAGGCAAGTCCCACACTGAGCTTCAGTTTTTCCTCTGCAAGAGGTTTAAAGTTCCTGGGCTTCTCTCCACACAGGGGCAAATAAGATTGCCTGGGTGTCCGTGCCAGTATATCACATGGTTGTACCTATGCCACACAATATTGTTTTGTTTTACACTGTATAATTATCATAATCATACCATCTGGTTTCTTAAAGTAAAAGGAACAAACCATGAAGAAATAAACTGAAGTAACAATGAAAAAGCTAAGGTCATCAGAAAACACGATAGCCAATGATCAAGACAGTGCTTAAAAGCATAAAATACCACCCAAGTTTCCTCACTGGCATTCAAGGAATAAGACCAACACAATTGTCACATGTGGGGTGAGCAAGGGGATGATGCTCCTACCTCCCAGGACAGCCACAAACTTCTCCAGCAAATAGAGGATTTGCTTGATATACATCAGGTTCTTGGCCTTCAAACGCTTCCTGAGGAAAAAGCGACAGAGGCAGAATGGTAGCATTCTCCAGCAGCTCCCTCCGCCAGATACCAATGGGCCTTTCTGCCTAGGACTGGACACACTGGGCTGTGAGGTACAAACTCTCCAGCAGATAAAAAAGGTGGGCTAAGACAGGCTGCTGCTCTGTCCCAAAAAACCAAGGATGTAGGGAGCACACATCAGGACACACCAATTCAACCTATTCCTCCAAGACCTTGGCACTAACAATAACCTCCATTTGTGTTCTGGAAGGCTGACATGGAAGCCAGTAAGGCCGAGCATGGCTAGATTCCTCGGGTCATGTCTTACCCATATCTTTCCATGTACTGGAGCAACTGAGAATGGGCCTGGCAGAGCTGGGGAGAAAACAGAACAGCATGAAGGCATCCCAGAATATGGTTCTCTCATCCCAGAAGAGGATCTCTGTAAAGAAACATTAGTCCATGTCTACGAATGCCAGCCCAGGACACATGGGGGCTTAGTCAGGGTTTCTATGACTGCAACAAAAGATCATGACCAAAAAGCAAATTAGGGAATTTGCAGTGTCTATCTGTCTTACACTTCCGGATCATAATCCATCATTACAGGAACTCAAGCAGGGCTGAAACCTAAAGGCAGGTGCTGATGCAGAGGTCATGGAAAGGTGCTGCTTACTGGCTTGCATATCATGGCTTGCTCAGCCTACTTTTTGATGGAACCCAGGACCACCAGCCCAGGGGGACAGCACCACCCACAATAGGCTGGGCCCGCCCCCACTGATCACTATTTAAGGAAATGCCCTACAGCTGGATCTCACGGAGGCATTTTCTCAACTGACGGTTCTTCCTCTCTGATGACTCTAGCTTGTGTCAAGCTGACACACAAAACCAGCCCATACAGGAACCATCAAGGTGATGGGCAGTTCGACAGTAACAAAGGCAGAGCAAGCAGAGTCAGGCCAGGCGGCTGATGATCGCTGAGAGGGAAGAGGCCAAAGCCTAAAGTCCTAAATATCACAGGAGAACTAAGTTGGGAGATGACTTGCACTCCAATAAGAGTGAGATGCAAGCAAGTGGCAGATATCACATAGGTTTCACGATCAGAAGCCAGTGGTCAAATCCTGGCTCACCTCAGTTTCTGCAGTGTGGGTGATGGACACATGACTCTGCCCTCCATGAATCCTGAAGCTCCCAAGCTAAAGCAGGGGAACCTCTAGCCCAAGAGAAAAGCAGGAGGCACAAAGAACCCCTTTCAATGCTTGCTACATACCAGGTGACAGTAAACAGGAGCCTGCAGAGACCCTGAGCATTCCTCCATTAAAGACCCCCAGCACAGTATCAATAGTGAGAAAATGGTATCTTGGGAGACTCTTGGTCCCCGAAGCCACTATCCTACTGACAAGAGACCTAGCGAACAGCATCCCAGATGAAGGACAGCTGAAGACAAAAGAAGCCACCCTGTTCAAGCTGGCTCCCAAGAGCCTCCCACTTGATAAGGAAAAGAAAAAACAGGGTTTCAGTTCAGCTCACCCTCCACTGATCCCCACATCCAGAGTAATTCCTGCCCCAGGCATTTAACCGACCTGCCCAAGACAGGAGAGGCAGACCCACCTGGGAACCATTGACCTCTGTGCTGTGGATGTCGCTGATGGTGTCGATCAGGTTGTGTGCCTCGTCAATGATGACCACCTGGCCTTGCAGCCTGATTCCTGCAGCCTGCCGGGTGGCTGCATGCAGCAGCATTGGGTATGGTAACACCACTAGCTGTAGGAAAAGGTGACCGCTGGAGAGTGAAGCAACCTGCCGTGCATATAGCAGAGGCTTATCCTGCAGTAAATATTAGGCCACTGATGTCCTAATGGAGTTGTTTCATTCAGACCTTGCACAGAGGTATTCAAGCCAGAATACCACAGCTCAGTATCCTGCCTGTTCTTTCACATGTTTCATGTGGGATGTCAACTATGGGAAACTGATCACCTGGGGGAAGGGGGAGGGGTGGAGTCCCTGGAGGTGAACCTCATCTAAGATCCCACAATAGCCCTCAGGTTCCAAAGTCCTTCAATACACTGAATCTCATGAGCACCAGGAAACATCCATAGCCTCTGTTCCTGGGCTGCTACTTCAGCTCTATGACTCTGGCAAAATCTAATTTAAGTGACCCTTGCTTTTCATCAGCTAAGCAAATCTGACAAACCACGTCAACTGAGGGGTGCGTATAAAATCAAATCTGTAGGTACATGTTGCTGTGATTATTCTCCATTAAAAGACAACAAATAAATGAGGGAGAGTGACTGAAAGCAAATGCTAAGTTTAAGCCACAAACCCATGAGGGAAAAAAAGCAAGGACTGTTGGTACCACTTGAAATCCCAGCAGCAGGAAGGCAAAGACAGGCTCACTTGCCAGACAGCTTTGCCATAACCAAAGCTGTTCTCTGGCCTGCACAGGCATGCACACACCTACCAAACACACACACACACACACACACACACACACAGATACTGATAATATAAAACCTCAGAAAACTGAAAACTCAAGGCCCACGTGCCAATATGAGTATCATCATTTAAGACAGTGAGAGAAGAGAAGATCATCTTTCTGGGCCCCAGTGTTCTCATGTGGAGAACAGAGCTATTTCAATGGGCTGTTATAAAGAAAAATGTGGAGAAAACTGCTTTCACATGTCAAGAACACATCAATGTCAGGTCTTCTAGATAAATGGTGACAGCATTGACTCAGAGACATCTGTGGACAAGGGAGAGCTTGTCTGTGAGTACCCACACATACATCCATGAGTGAGCACTGCACTGAGCAAGACGATCACTCAGATTGCTCTCTCATGAGATCCATTTAAATCTCCCAGATGATGCCGGGCGTGATGCTGCATGTGTGGAATCCCAGCTCTCAGGGAGGCAGATGGATCTCTGTGAGTTTGAGGCCAGCCTGGTCTACAAATCAAGTCCAGGACAGCCACGGCTACACAGAGAAACCATGTTTTGAAAACCAAAACCAAAACCAAACAAAAGTCTCCCAGATGACACAGTTCCCCTATGAGTGACGGTTTCAGGGAGAGAGTAAGACAGCATGAAATCACCCACAGTGAAGAACAAGGGGCTGTCAGAAAAAAATCAGGTTTCCTTTCTGTATGAAGGTAAGGCAGGTCTAATCAGAACAGTACTGCCATGTATGGGCAGGTGGGTACATCAGCAGTCCAACCGAAAAGCCATTTGGTTATGTTCACATTCTGGGCTCAACCTCTACTCAACACCTTTCAGTGTGGTCCCTTAGAATAACACTCTTTGCAGGCTCCTAGCTGGTGAACGCTCAATAACACCAATTGCCCCAAGCCACTAAGGATCCCTGACCTGGCCAAACTTATGCTCTGGATAAGATAGCTTTGTGCCATGAGTACGGTTGTCAGCCTAACCTAAGTAGGACACCCTCACCTACCAGAGAGGGATGACAAAGCCTTGTTTGTAAGCTCCAGTTACTGCAAGGACATACTTCCTATTTCTCCAGCACACTCACCTGGGCTGCAGGGATGGCAAAGCGGCTTCCATAATAGGGACAGGCCCGGGCCTCCTTCCCAAGGGCCACAAGCTGCTCCATGTCCTTCACCTCCAGCAGAAGCTCGTCCCGGAGAAGCTGCATCTGCTCATGGTTGTAGAAGGGGCACGAGGTCTGGATCTTTTGGCTCCTCCTCTTTGGCTTGTCTCCCCCAGCTCTGCTCTTCTCTGTGGTGGTATAGTTGGAGGAAAGCAAGGACAGGAGGCAACTCAGCTACGTCTAAGGTCAGGAGTAGGGACAGTAATGTTCAAACACGTTCCTTTGGGTAGACAACTGCTGCTTACTGTGACTTATGAGAACACTCTGGGATTTTACTTTATGCTCTCCAGAAAGAGGCAGCACAAACATCACTAAGCCAGGTCCCTTAGGAAGCATGAACACTCTTGTTGCCCGAAAAGGAACCTGAATAAGAAACCAGGGCCTACTCAGCCACTACCTCCGGTTAACAAAGTCTTCATTGTCATGGCCCTGTTGTGAACTCCACCACATCTCTGCCACTTCCACTCTGTCCAGCATAGCTCAGAACAAGGTCCCTGTGCATACCATGTTTGATTCTTTGCATATCCATGCAGCGGTCATTCATAAGTTGCACAGAACCCAGGTTTTTCACATCTTCATTCACACAAAGGTTCTATAAGGCAGGGGAAAAGAAGAGGAAAAACAGTGGCCTTCATTCACATTGGGCAAAACCTCTACCACCACACTTACCCTCAGTCAACTCTAGACATTGTCATCTTGACCTGCTTCTCCTTGCTTACAGAATGGACCATTAATATAAATCTGACCACTAAATTGCTCTTCGGCCTTCCTGAACAAAAGAAATTTTTGTTTGTACCCAAGACATGCCACATAAAACTCATCACCCAAAGCTGCTCTCTGCAAACATGCCAACCCACAGTTTTGTATTGGTCAGTGCTGATTATTTATTCTGTGTGTGCGTGTGTCTGGTATCTGCATGTCTGTCTGTGCACCATGTGCATGTCTGGTCACTAAGAAGGCCAGAAGAAAGCACAAGATCCCCTACAGCTAGAGTTACCGATTAGAAATTGAACCTGGATCCTTTGGAAGAGCAGTAAGTGCTCTTATGCACTGTCACCTCTCCAGCCAATTTTAGATCTTTTTGAAGCTTGCTTCTTTAAAGACAAAGAGAGAACACTGGCCCCATTTGGGTATGAGACGTTTTGGGGGTTTTGGCTGGCTGGTTTGTTGGTTGGTTTTGGGGTTTTGGTTGTTGCTGTTGTTGTTTTGGGAGGTTTGGGACAAGGTCTCACTGTGAAACTCTAGCTGTCCTGGAATTCACTGTGTAGACCAGGTTGGTCTCAAATTCAGAAACCTGCCAGCCGCTATATCCCATGTGCTGGGATAACAGGAATGTTACCACAACCGACTTGTAGGAGAGCTTTTTAAATTGCTAATATTCTGTTTTTCCCCCAATCAAAGGGTGAGGTTTCTGGGGGGGGTGTCTCAGGAAACAGTTTGCAACTTATTGGATAAAATATACTGTCCTTTGTTGTACTCTCAGGGCCCGGATGAGAGAGAGAGGACCAACAGTACAGCATGTTTATTTCTATTTTTTGGAGATTATAATTATTTCTCTCCTTCCTTTTCTTCCCTCCAAACACTACTTGGCTCTCTTTAAAATCCATGGCCTCTTTTCGATTAACTGATATTATATCTCTATATATGTGTATGTACTATGTAGTTGCCCATATCATATATTCCTAAACTTAGCCTGCTCGGCCTGTACAATGTTACTTGCAGGCGTGTGTTCAGGGCTGACCTTTTGGTCTTGGATGACCAATGGTGTGCTCTTCCTTGGGGAGGACTCTTTCTCCCACTCTCAGCATTGCTTAGTTCAGCACATCTTTGGTACTGAATACTGATGAGTGTTTTTTAAAGATAAAGAACACAAATGGTGTAGGCTAAAGGACACAGGAAGGGCCCAATGCCCAGTCTGTGTCTCCTGCACCTTCTAAAGAACAGTAAGGCCAGCAAGGGCGCAATGCTCCCCATGCCTACCTTGCCTCTGCCCACCTTTTTTTCATGCCTGGACCAAGAGACAAGGACACAGGAGGAGGTTGTCTGGACAAGAACACTTCCCTATGCTTACCTGCCGAGAACCAAGGGAGACTAGCTGCGTTTCCTTGCCAAAAGGGCTCTTCAGTACTTCATGCACAAACTGGGCCAGCTGTGAGTGTGTCCGACTACAGTAATAAATCTGATCAGAAGAAAGGAAGGAAATTCAAAGAGGGGAGTCTTACAAGCCCAGCCTGGCCTGCGATCCTGAAGAGGAGGGAGGGCGGTTACAAGTCCAGGCTCCTGGGATGACAGAAAAATCACCTCAGGTCTGCTAACACCTCATGAGGGACTAGCCGTGCCTAGGATTCAGCTCTCCCACAATTTACACTCAGGCTCAAGTCAAACTACAGTAAGAGCTAGCAACCCTAGGAGTCTCTTTCCCCACACTGCTAATTCTTGATATGGCAATGATCCTCAGCCCTCTGAAGAATAAGCCACGAAGGGAAAGGTGGAGCCTAAGGTGCACATTCTGGCCGTCCTAGGATTCAGCAGAGTGAGGAGAGAGAAGAGCAGTAAAGGGCACTTTCAACAGAAAAGAGAAATCTTAAGTGAACCCTATGGGGTTTTTTGTTGTTGTTGGTTCAGTATGGTTTGGTTTAGTTTTTATCAAGACAGGGTTTCTCTGTGTAGCCTTGGCTGTCCTAGACTCACTTTGTAGACCAAGCTGGCCTTGAACTCAGAGATCCACCTGCCTCTGCCTCCCCAAGTGCTGGGATTAAAAGCGTGTGCCACTGCACCAGGCTGAAACCACTGAAACCATGTACTTTAAAAATAGAGAGGTATCAGGCCATACATAGCTTAGTGCACTCAACATGTTAAATACAAGCAAGAGAAGCACACACGAGAGTCCAAGAATAAGGAGGGCATACTTGCTTACTCCTCCCTTGCCCTTTGGAAAAGGAAACCCTGTGAGTCCTGGGTCCAGAATGGCTGCTCCTTCCAAGGCGTCCCCTCTGAGGTCCAGCCAGTCAAGGGAGCAACCAGAAGCCATACTTTGCATTTGGGAAGCACACACCTCTGAGGCAAGGCCAAGGAAGTGCTAGAACAGAGTCCTGGACCTAGAGGCTCCCCTCTCCTGCCTCTAGAAGCATCAGGAGTATACAGCCTACCTTGGTTATGTGTTCTTCCTCCAGGTCATCCTCATCCTCATCCACTCTAAGAGACAAACATGGAGGTGAGTTTTTGCGCAGCACCCTCGGGACAACAAAATACCTAAAAGCACAGTAATGTGCTCTGGGTGCTCACTGACAAGCAGGAAGGTGGCCCTTTCCTCAGAAGACAACAGGGCTGAGGGGCAAACTCTGAATACAACAAAGACACGTCCCAGGGAACTGACAAGCCCTGCTCCTCAGGACACCAGCCCAAGATCTATATCCGCCTTTACAAATACTCAGGTCTATAAAACCTAGAAAACACAGTTGAGAGGGGGGGAAAGATCTGTTGTCCTTAAAGCCACTTCACATGTACAACACCCAGATGTAACCTCTGACCAGTGGCACAGGCGTTCTCCACACCCACAGGCCACTCTGATGTAAAACGGATTCCTCTGGGTTCCCTCAAAGAACTTCCCCTCTGTTACCTCATGGCCTTAACTCTGGCCTCTATCTAGTCTGCCTTCCCCTTACACTATTCCAGCATGCACACTGCTGCCTCTTCCTTACCCTCCTGGCGTGTGACTGAGACTTTGCCCTGCCTTACTTGTTAGGGTGATACCTATGTCAAAGTGATTTGCTCCTACTATGTCTCCTGTCATGTGTACAAACCAAAAACCAGGCTTCTCTTGTTTCTGCTGAGCCACCTCTCCAGCCCAAACTGTCGTCTTACGTTCCACCAGGCAGAGGGGCTTCATTCAGGAAATGTGCACAGAGTGTTTGTTGTAGTCAGGGTCCGGCAGCTCCTGGGGCTCAGCAGTTGAGAGCACTGGCTGCTCTGAGTTCAATTCCCAGCAACTACATGGTACATTCTGAACTAAAGTATTTTACATACCCTGTGTAGAGACAGAGAGGTGGTGACTGTCAGCCATTAGCCAATACAATGAAAACCAAAACCCTCTACTACCAGTAAGATACGCCTCCTCATACTCAGCTGTAAATAATTAAGTAAAGGCTACTACCTTCCGTCCAATTGAAGACCCCATGTCGACAGAATTTCTGGACTTCTCAGAATGAGACAAAAAAGAAGCTTGTGTGTACACTCAGATCAACTAACGTCCACGGAGTACAGATGTGCCAAATGTGACCTTGGTTCTGGAAATGGCAGTTTATGTAAAGACCTGGTTCTTCCCTGGAAATGCCTCATGAAAAGCTCAGCTGAAACGCTGGGGGCTAGACTTAATGACACACACCGAATCTCAGTCTATAGATCTGTAGATAGAGAGGCAGGAGAATCAGCTTGAGTCAAGGCCAACTAGCACTCAAGGCCAAGACCCATTCTAAAAAGGCCAAGGGAGAAAGAATGAGGCCTGAGAGAGGCCACGTAGACTACTGAAGTGAGCTTTGAAGGGCGCGAAGACATTTGCCACAGCAGGAGAAGGATGTTTTGAGCATTCACAACAGAGGGAGACTTGGTGCATTTAGGAAGCCAAAACAGCTGCCCAACTGGTGTCTGGCAAAGGGTGGCTGCAAGTCAAACAGGTGTGTTGAATATAGATAGTTGATGTGATAACCACAGTGTCCACAGAGCACAAGACATGTGGGACCTGTGACAGCCTTTCCAGGAACAGCAATAAAGCTGTCTTAATCCTTGTGCCACTGGGAAATAGGTATGAGCCTTAATGCTTGAAGGACCTTCCTTGTACTAGAAATGGACACATCACTCTGGCTTAATTAATCCCTTCCCAGCATCCTGCTGTACTGACTATGGCATCCATCCAGGACTAACGGGGCTCTGAGTCCTACAGAGACCTGTACCTGCTTCAACCTTGGGTCTTTTCTCTCCTGGGCTATCTCATACTTGAGCCTTCCCTCTAGTACACACGGTCCCCTCACCCAGCCCACTGAGCTTGAGAGCCCTCAAGCCCCAAGCTTTCTAAGCCTCCTTCATAATATAACAGCTCCTCAGCAGGCCTCACTCTGCTGACTCGACACACTAGTGCACTAGTCCACTTTCCTCGAAGCAAACGTGCTGGTCTCAAACTGGAGCTGTATGCTCATTTACCACGTAGACAGGGCTACACCCAGCCTATCTCAACTAATCAGAGTTCCCACATTGATCCTGCACAGGACCCCAGCTGGGGAGACATCTGTTCTAGTCCCCTAAAGGCCATGCCAGGTCCTGTACTCACCCTGACACTGATACCTATGTCACTGTGCCTATCTGGGGTCTAACTCCAGGCTGCAGCACCTGGGCCACCAGGACTTCCCTTGACAGGAGCTGTGAGATGCACAAGTGATCAAGTCCCTCCCATCTGGGTTGCCTGCTTTACTCACAACTGAAGCTCATGAAACAGAAACCTGCTCATCTGGACCAGAAGCCTTAAAACAATGACAAAGGGTGAGTAGGGGTCTCCTTGATAGTTAGGATCATGTACTCCACATACACTTAGGTTTAGTGGTGGAGAATATGGGCAGGTGGACTAGGTCCAGGACCAGCTCTCTCCTCTCTTTAAGAGCCCACAGCAACGGCCAAGACATAGTACTGACCAATCCACAGCCTCCAGGAATCCACCACCGAGCTGCTGTGGGAAAAATACCCCAACATACACAAGGGACCAGCTCAGGCTAAGGGCCAGCCATGGTTGTCACCAGTATTTATGGACCCTAAATAAAAGCCCAACTTGAGTAAATGGACAGGTGGTTATCAGGCCCTCTCATCGGTGCTTCAGAGTATCTCTGGCCAAGGGCAGAGCTGTCCTAGCAAGGCTGTAAACAGATGCAGAGCAGCGGCCTCACCTGCTGGCTCTTCTCTCCTCATCACTCTCATATTCTGCCAGCACCAGCTCCTCCTCCCCACACTCAAGCTGCTCTGATCCTGTCTCTGCAGCCAGCATCTCCCTGCTGAGGCGCAGGAGAGTCTCAGTCTCCTCTTCTTCCTGTTTCTGCATAGGAACAAAGACTCAAAAACAAGTCCCAGCACTGGGGCCCCCGCTGACTCTGTGACAAATCTGGCCCCTGGCATTGCTCTCAACAAGGACAAAGCACCCACATTCACCTTGTAGCATGAGTCTAACTGAAATTCTCTACCACTTAAGAGCTCCGGCTACTGCTTAAGGAGCGGGCGGCCAATCCCAAGCGGCATCCAGCCGCCTCGCAGGCCACAGGCCTAGATGCTCACCATGCGCTTGGCTGCAAACCTGAGCCTTCCATCCTGGCAGACCTACTGCAGACGCTCAGTGCGCCTCCTCCTCTTCACCTGTTCCTCCTAAAATACAGGGACAGCAGAAAAGCCTCCTGCGTGAAGGGCCACCCCAGCCAGTTCTCAGTGAATCCTACCAAGGGAGCCCTTGCCACACCCTCCACTCTCTCTGTAGATCCAACTCCAGCACTCAGGGCGCCATCCTCTTTTTCTCTCAGGCATATAAGAGCTACTCTGGAATCAAGCAGCTTCCCAGGTAAGTGAGCCATAAATGGAGAAGGCCTGCTCACATCAGAAAGAGACAATGATACCCACACAAATCCACCAAAGGGCTGAGAGGACCCACGAAAACAAACATGCAATTCCTAAATCTTGTAATGAATTGAAAAACAGTCAGTGAAGCTTGTTTCCTCGGTCACCACAGCTTCTCATCCCCTCAGATCTCACCTTCAGCCTCTCCACCAGCTCCCTTTCTTCTTTCTTCTGAACAAATTCAGTAACCCAGTCAGGTTCTCCAGCAGGCCTCGGGGCATCAGAGGGTTCTTGACAAGAGGAGGAAGACGAAAGCGAGGTCTTCCCACCACTTGTGGGGCCAGAACCAGGTTCGAGGAGACGGGCCTCTGCTTGCAATTTCTTCTGTTCAAAGTCACGGAGCCAGGACAGGGCCCCACAAATAAGACTTAAGGACTTTCCCTACAAAAGAAACATGACCTCAAACCAGGCTAGAAGCAAGCTTCCCAAACAACTTTCCCCATTTACTAAGGACTTCAAAGAAACCCTACTTCCAAACATGACGATTCTCGAAGACCATGTAGAAAGGAAAGGAATTAGCAATAACCAAGAGAGGGGAAAAGGAGGGTGTAAAGCCTGGTCCCAAGAAGCAGTAATGACCTGATGTTAAGCCATATAATGTAACTAAACAATGGTGAAAGAAATACATTAATAGCCAAGAAATACAAAGCATAAAATTGCAAATCTTGCCAAGGCCACATCTGACTCTAAGCTTTAAGGCAACTGTAGTCCAGACACACACAATCAGTCACACGAGTTCCTACCATTGAAGGCAACTACTCTCCAAACACTATTCCTGACTCAAGTCACAGTTTTCCATGGTCCCTTTCACAGGTCGACATGCGTCCCCTCTGCTGAGCTCCTAACTCCATGGTCTCAGAATGGGAACTTACTCAGAAATAGAATCACTGGAGTCCAATCAGTTAACATGAGGCCCTTAGAGGAGCCCCAAACTCTCACAAGACTGGGAGCCTTATGAAGAAGGAACATATAGATGCAGACACACAAAGAACAAACGCACTACGAAGAAACACATCTACCAGACAAGGAGTGGGCCCGCATGTCCTTCCCACGTAGCCCTCAGGATGAACCAAACCTGCTAGTATGCTGAGTCCAGACTTTGAACCTCCAGAATTTTAAGTTCTGGATTCCTGCTGTGCACCCATTTGTGGAATTCTATACTATGAAGTCCCAGGAAAGGGATGAGAGAGCAAACTGTGGAGTCCCTCTGGCTGCTGCTTCTAGGATCCATTTGGGTTCAAGTACGTGTTTAGAGCTAACCTTCCTACTTAACCCTCTAAGCCTGCTTAACCCCAGGGTCTGAACCTACCTGCCCTGGGAGGTACCATAAGTAAGACAACTCCTTACCTGCAGTGCTGGACCAGACATGGGCTCATCTTACTAGCTCTGGGACTCTGAGCCGACTCTCAAAGCACATATATGCAAAAGCAGGACAGGTCATAGTAGCCCTCACTCATAGAGCTGATACAAGTGTTAAGTTAGTTAATACACAGAAAGCAGGATCCAAATAGTCCCAATTTTCTGAGAAGGCACCAGAGGGGAAGGAAAACAGAGACCCTCAGTTGGCTCCCTACAGCACACAGTAACCTAGATTCTACACCTTAACACAGAATGCTGAACCTGGAAAGCCAAAGCCATAGTTTTATGTTCCTCAACATCAAAGCAGCAGTATGCCAGAGAAATCTCAAAAATATTGGTGTTGTGGTTTGCATTGCAATTTTAAAGTCCCAGCTGTCTTTAGCCTGGTTTTTCTCAGACTGTAGTGCTGTGTTTAACAGTTTAACAGAAGAATTTACTACTAGTTAGAAAGATAAACTGACAACAACTGTGCCCAGTTTCTTCTCAAGGAAGACACTGCCCGCAGGGTGAATTGTCAGGTAAGGCTGCCTCCAGGCAGTGATACCTCCTCATGCCTCACACTCACCGTGCCAGTTGGACTCTCAAATATCCCAATCTTGCCAGCCTCCAAAACCTTGTAGAGCTCTGCCATGAAGTCCTTCTGGATAGGATAGGGCGGGAAGGGAAAGGGGAAATGGATGCCACCAATCTCCTGGTTTTTGTCAGCCATTGCCCTAGATTAAGAAAAGAGAGAGAGA